CTCCCCATATCTCCCCCCATCTCCCCCATCTCTCGAGGCCTAGACGCGGAGTATCTCCCCACATCTCCCCACGTCTCCCCCATCTCTCGAGGCCTAGACGCGGAGTGCCTCCCCATACCTCCCCACATCTCCCCCATCTCTCGAGGCCTAGACGCGGAGTATCTCCCCACATCTCCCCACGTCTCCCCCATCTCTCGAGGCCTAGACGCGGAGTATCTCCCCATATCTCCCCACATCTCCCCCATCTCTCGAGGCCTAGACGCGGAGTATCTCCCCCCATCTCCCCACATCTCCCCCATCTCTCGAGGCCTAGACGCGGAGCATCTCCCCACATCTCCCCACATCTCCCCCATATCTCGAGGCCTAGACGCGGAGCATCTCCCCACATCTCCCCACATCTCCCCCATATCTCGAGGCCTAGACGCGGAGCATCTCCCCACATCTCCCCACATCTCCCCCATCTCTCGAGGCCTAGACGCGGAGTATCTCCCCACATCTCCCCACATCTCCCCCATCTCTCGAGGCCTAGACGCGGAGCATCTCCCCACATCTCCCCACATCTCCCCCATCTCTCGAGGCCTAGACGCGGAGTATCTCCCCATATCTCCCCACATCTCCCCCATCTCTTGAGGCCTAGACGCGGAGTATCTCCCCTCTTCACACCGCGCTCTGAATGCTCTGCAGAACACCGTCCTCCCGCCCTGAGGCCGGTGTAGGCTGCCCATATCTCCCCATATCTCCCCATATCTCCCAATATCTCCCCATATCTCCCCATACCCCCCGCCCTGAGGCCGGCGTACATTTTTACGTAGGCATCCGCGAGACGACGCGCGACAAGTGCCGAACAATCGCCCCACATCTCCCCGCATCTCCCCACATCTCCCCACATCTCCCATGGATAGGTGCCAATCATGATCAAGAGACCTAATCACTCCCCATATCTCCCCATATCTCCCCCACATCTCCCCGAGATCTCCCCCACATCTCCCCCCGGTCTCCCCCAAATCGTCCCCCATGAACGAGCTCAACTAAATTGGCTTGGTTCCGCCCACAAAACCACCCTGGATGAGAAGTATCCGTTTCTAGCCCCCACATATCCGCCC